AAATATATAAATATATAATATATATATCACATATAATACATATATAAAATAATGTATTATATGACATTATTGCCTCTGAATTGGATTATTATCGGATAGGATAATAACTTAGTAATTAACTACGTCTGAAAGCAGAAGTCCAGGGCAAATAATTGCAAGTCTTTTCAGTGCGCATGTCACAAAACGAGATGCATTGTGGGACATGTAGTTTATGGGCAACCTGCTTCTGTAAAGTGGCATGTAACCGTATAATAAACTTATTATATTCTTTNAGAAAGAACTAGCATGTTCTTCTTCTGCAGGGGAAAATACAACAGACTGCTCTACCGCTACCTACAGGTAGAGTACTGACACTACAGGGCTGTGTTTTCCAGCAAGGAAAGCTAGAATGCAACCGAAACGGAAAACACAGCCCTGTAGTGTCAGTACTCTACCTGTAGGTAGCGGTAGAGCAGTCTGTTGTATTTTCCCCTGCAGAAGAAGAACATGCTAGTTCTTTCTGTCATTAACATCAAACAACTACATTTGAATGTATCAAGATTGTGATTGATGGCATTTGAACATTCATGAGACTTCAAATGTAACTTGTTAATTTGAAATGCAGGTTTGTACATTTGAACTTCAATAAAAAAGCAGTTAAAATAAGCAGAAAAGTACACATTTATTTCACAAACAAGAACACTTGTTTGCAGAAAAAGGGGATTGAAGTAAAGAATATGAACTGAAAATAATATTGGACAATGAAGCTTCTTTTTATTGTATTCTAGCTTTCCTTGCTGGAAAACACAGCCCTGTAGTGTCAGTACTCTACCTCTAGGTGGCGGTAGAGCATTCTGCTGTATTTTCCCCTGCAGAAGAAGAACAGGCTATGGTTGGTACACGGAAGCAGAATTAGTCAAAAGCTCCAACCTGTCAATCTGTCCACGCGGATAGAGTCGAGAGCTGAAAGGAGACAGAATAAACACACTCGTTTTCGGTTTTTAATCCTTTTTGAGACACGATGCGGACTGCTTTCCTGCTGCTCACAACATGTCTGTGTGTCTGCTTGGTCAGAGGTGAGTTTTGTGTTGTTTTGCTGTGTATTCTTCTTCTTATAGGCTATTCAAATACATTACAGATACCTGTTCCCCCATGATCCCTGATAGCTAATCAAGATAAGTGTCCATGTTGCTGAATAACAAAGTATCACTTGTTTTCACTCAGAGAAAATTAGCCAATACACGAACGAGTGTCTGTTAAATAAATTAAAACACAGCTACATGTCTAGCTATTTTATTATTTTGGTACCTTTTGTGTATTTAGCCTCTTTGTGCCAAGTAATGACTGCACACATGCCAAGGGGAATCATTTAATGGGTTTATCTTCACCAAACACCATACACAAAACCAGATATCATGTTACACAGAAGACAGACACACTGATACTTGCACTGGCTGTTAAAGTAAGTGATGGCTTGTGTCGTAATGCTTTATTGGCCTGTCGCCAAGTTCCTATTAATAACTCAGTTTAATTACACACCCAGATAAACAGTACTCTAATCCGGAGACTCCACCTGGCCTCAGTCTTTTTAATGTGATTTAGTTTGGGATGATTTGCATTTATGTTAGGAATATGTAGTGCAATATGAAGCAGAATAATCAAGCTTTTAAAAAATGTTATAAATATTACTATTTGAAAGTGAGATGGTGTCCAAATTAAAACTTCTTTGTGATGTAAAATAATAAAAAACAAATTAACATTTATTTAAATATAAATGTATACTGTACATATTACATTCATATTTAATGTTAATAATATCTTACTTTTCAATGTTGTTAGCTGTAATTTGGCCATCATAGTGTTTTTATTTTTAGATGTTTATACTTCATGTTTGTTTGTTTCCTACTCTTTTTATTTTCCCATCATGTGCAATGCCTTGTTTTAAAATGCTGCTGTGACGGAAACATGTCCAAATTTGGGATCAATAAAGTCAATCTTATCTTACATTGTCTGAAGAATGAACTCATCCATTTTATCCTATAAATAATGATGAGTGTTATTTACATTTATTTCGGTTCAGTCTGTACACCAAACTAGTTCTCATCTTTCGTCTTTTAGTGCGGGCGGTTTTTTCTTCCACCTCGAGCCCTTTTACTTTGTGCTATTAACATCATATCATCTAATCATCTAATGAAATCTTCTTGGCCTATACAAAAACAAAGGACCTTACCAAAAAGGTGACACAGAACATACTAGTAGTGGAAATGGATACTGGTCTGGATCATTGAACCCTGCGTAAGATCCTCTAAATCAGGGGTCTCAAACTCAAGGCCCGGGGGCCAAATCCGGCCCGAGACTTCATTTTATGTGGACCCGCAAGAGTTGTATA